ATCCTCATGGCGCCTATTGAAGCAAACAGAAAAAAGGCTGCAGTGAAATCAGCCGGAATCAGCCGAAATCTTTTGAGAAATACAGAAAAGCACTGAAAATTTTGAGGGTTTTGTGGGGAGCCTCAYCTGCTGGGAACCGGGCCCAGCGTCCCATGACTACATCTGTGCAAAACAATACCCCTCCCCTAGCTCCTGCGCTCCACCTGCTGACCTCATGGCGTCCCGTCCAGCGTTCTTTAAATACATCTTTTACTCCACAGTGCATTGTTGAGGGTGACGCCATTTTGCTGGAAACCGGGTCCAGCGTCCCAAATCCGATTTTACTCTTCCTTACCTGTCTTGTAGCCGGGGCGGGTATTGGGGGCCTGTAAAGATAGAATCTACCCATTCTATGAAAATGCAACCCCACACAACCGAGCCTTATGACGTAGTTACTTCTACTAGGGATAGAGGGTGTGGGGGGAAGGGGTCCGGAAATTCAGAAGCTGGCCTCATTGGGAAGCTCGGGTCAATGTCAGTCCATTCCTTAAATTTCAGACAGTAGTCCCTGCTTACCATTTCTCCCTCTCCCTGAAGGCCCACGTCCGCATCCCCTGCCCATCTTTCCTGGGCAATCCAGCCTTCTCTTTCCCCGCCCAACCATTCGTGGCAGAATTTAGTGATGCTTTCTTTAATGTCTTTTGGTTGCTGAAGGAGGTCTAGCTTGTGTTTTACTGTCTGCCATCTATCAGTTATGTCCAACTGTAGTTGGTTTTTTATATGCTCGCGCACCTCCACCCCCTCCAATCGCACTCCTTCCATTGTCAAAACACATCTTTGCCACCACAGTGTCCATAAGATTGTTCGTCTCCCCAGGTCAAACATGTTATTTGCAAATTCTTCTTCGGGCCGTCCTGGCCAATAGCCCGTTAGGATGACCCGCCAGTCCCATGGCCAGACGGATCCAGGGACAATGTGCTGCCAGATCCGGTCCCACCAGCGCCAGGAGAGGGCGGCGTTCGGGCACTGTAGGAAGATGTGCTCAATGGTTTCGGCCGCTTTTTTGGCCGGGTACCCTCGGAGGCATCTACTGTGCCAGGGGAGAGCACGACCTTGCTGTTCCAACCTGGTGTGATCAATCAGCCAGTTGTTGGTAGGAAGGCACCTATGGGTTATCTGCCATTGCAGGGAGGTGATTTTGGCTGGTCTCCTCTTGCATTCCTGGAACCACTTAATTGGGGCTAGCAGATGTCTGTCAACGTTTAGGTGTCTATACCATCGATCATTCACTGTGTTTTTTAGGTCCCATCTTGGCCTGATCATCCTGTATGTGGTTTTAACAGAGAGGTTTTCAAGTGTTGTGTCCCTGTGGGTACCTCCTCGTGTCGGGCCAGCAGGTTTCCATCTCCATTCCATTGGGTCCAGGCCCAGTTCCATGATCGGGGTTCCAGGTTTATATACCCAGCGGTTTTCACCTTCCCCCATCACCGTAACCCGGTCCACCTCTTCCTTGTCCGTCCAGACGAAGGGGCTGTGCTGCCAATTAGTCTGTTCCCCTTCGTTATCATATAGTACTCAATTAACACTTCCGTGGGTCTGACCAGGTGGACCACCCCGACCCTACCACGGCCCCCTCTCTGCATCACCCAGTCACCTTCCTTGTGGAGTGGGCCCGTTCTTAAGATATTATACCACTGGAGGGGAAGGACTTCTATTATTCTATCCAGAGTCTCTTGTACATCGTAGTTTTCCTTTATTTGTTATAGATTCCTCCATGTTCCGGTTCTGACATCCCATAGGTCCCCCACCCTCCTTATCCCATGTTTGATCCAGCCTTTCCATGGAGGGGCAGAGCTGCTCCTCACCTGCCCGTGGGAATCCGTGATGCGCCGGTTGCCAAAGAGGGGTTGTCGATACACTTCCTCCCATCTCTCTGGTTCCGGACGGTCCGGGGGGGGGAGCTTTCGCCATATTTTGATTATTCGTGGCCAGTATTCGTCCTTTAATGTGCCTTCCCTTTGATCTCCCCTCCCTTTGCGGGGGAGTTTCCAGTACCTGTCATCCAACCATACAAGCGGGTCCACCCCTGCCGTGGTTTCTGGTGCAAGTCTGGCAATCTGTTCCATTGCTAACACGGGTGCCAGGGTTGGGCGGTTTCCAGAATAAGGTTTTTAATCCATTGTGTGCTAAGGGCCTGGGTTTGGAGGGCCGGGTCGATAATCCCCAGGCCACCTTTAGCCTTGGGTTGGATTACTGCGTCCCACGCCACCCTGCTAATGGCGTGTTCGCATCCACTGTCTCCTCTCCATAGAAAGGCCGCTGCCTGCTTCTTGAACGCTTTTAAGGCTGCTGCACTTAAAGGCCAAATTAGTGATTTGTACCAAAGTGACGCCATGACAACATTATTGATGACTAGTGCCCTCCCGAAAATCGAGGTTGGCTTCTGATTCCATTCCCTCATCCTGTCTTGAGCGGCCGACTGGACCCATTCGTCATTCGTGGTGGACTTTCCAATTGCTGTCATTTGGACGCCCAACACTCTCACCGTGGCTTCCAGGGGGAGCCATTTAATGCGGGGAGCTTCAGGCGGTCGCCCCCCTTGATGGTGCATCCACCACCCAACTGTTTTGGTCTCCCAATTGACAGCCATATCTGAAAGTTTGCAAAAACGATCCATCAGCCTCTGTATCTCCTCCATGTTACCTTCCCAGGCATCGGTCATTATTGTGAGATCGTCGGCGAAGAGGGAGCACACCGGGATGACTTCCTCTGGGATACTTGCAATCTTAATTTTCCGGATGTCCTTGTTATGCTGTAAATTGGCCGATAGTGCTTCCATAACTATAACAAAACGGAAGGGGGCGATGGAGTCCCCTTGTCTGACCCAGCGCTGCAGCGTAATTGCCGGTGCTAAATTCCCATTTATTTGCACACGTGTCGTTGCGTCATGGTGGAGGATATGAACCCATCTTCTTAGGTTGGGTCCGAAATTCATTTTCTGGAGGCATGCATCCGGGACGGTCCAATCCACATGGTCATAGGCCTTCTCGAAGTCAATAAAGATCAAGGCCGCAATCTGTTTCGATTGCTGAGCCAGATGGATCATCTCATTGACTAGGAGTATGTTTCCTTGAATGTTTCTGGACCTTATAAATCCTGATTGGGCCGGGTGGATAATATCTTCCGTTATCTCAAGCAATCGATTTGCGAGGGCTTTAGCAAACATCTTATAAACGATCGTTAGCAAGGTGATGGGTCAGTAGTTTCTGATGTTCATTTTGTCTTCTTTTTTGTATAAGAGGGACAACACCCCCTGACCCACGCATTCCCCAATCTGTCCTGTTTCCCACACCTCCCCTTAGTAACTCATCAGGTCCTGGTGTAGGGTCGGCTACACGGTTTCCCAAAATTCTTTAGGAAAACCATCCATCCCTGGAGTTTTGTCCTCACCCATTTGTAGGAGGGTCGTCCATATCTCCTCTTTCTTTACAGGTTGTTCAATTTTTTCCTTCTATTGGGGACTAAGACTACTATCCAATGGGCCCAGGAAATCCTCCAGCTCCCTTTGGTGTCCTTCCTCAAGGGGGTTTGTTATTTTCGAGGAGAAGAGTTGCTTAAAGAAGGTTCGCGCTATACTTGTGCAGTGTGTCGTGGTGGTGGCCACCTCATAGTCATTTTCAGGATTAAGAAATGCCTCAAAAGTGTTACGGTGTGCCCTTGCTTTTGCTATGCCAAAAAACCGTGTGTCCAGGTTCCTTCGGATGTCCATTTGGTGAGTTTCCCTCTGATTTTAGCTCCTTGCCACCTATATTGCGCGTGTTGCAGCAGTCGCTCCCGCAACTCTTGAATGGTGTTACTAGGTTCATCCGAAGTCCCTTGGTTTTCCAAGGTGTGAAGTTGTTTGTGAAGTTCCATTTCCTGAAGGTTACGTTTCTTTGCGTTTTGTTTAGATAATTCATTGCATTTCCGTCCGAAGAAGAATAGACCATTATTGAACCACTGTATTCCTGAGTCAAATTGATGCCGGAAAAATCGTCACTGTTCCCATGCTTCGTTTATCATCTCCTGAAACTCTGGTGATTTTAAAAGGGAGGTATTCATTTTGTAGAATCCCGGTCCTTGGTCCGACCTTTTCCTAAAGGATAGTAAGGCCCCACATGTTTTGTGGTCCAGCCCCGGGTGCGGGCTCTTTGGGAGATTTACTGCAGTTTCTAGTGACCTTTTTATGTCTTCGGACATCAAAATAAGATCAATACGGGATTTAGATTGTCGTGCGGGATCCGATGTGCGGATGCAGGTGAAAGCCCGCTCCGTTGGGTGAATACACCTATATGTGTCAAACAGATTGAGGAAGGCCGAGAGGTCTCGAAGGATGTTTTCGTCCTCTTCTGTGTAATGGGGGGGGGAGTAAGTGTGCTCCATTTGTCATGCCACCTATCTGGGGCAGCATTAAAGTCCCCGGCTATGATCAGGGGTATACCCACCGCCATCCGATCCTGGAGTTTTTGGAAAAATTCCTTCTTTTCTGGAACCGTATTGGGGGCGTATATACAGGCTACGCATATTATTTCTAGCTCAAGCATTCCCAATAGCACCACCCACCTCCCCTTGTCCTTGTCTGCCGTCCAGTGGACTACCTCTATTCTAGAGTCCGGTGGGACCCAGATGGCTACCCCGGCCGATGCCTGTGATGGAGCATGCGTGCAATATTGCTGGTGCAGCCAGGCCGTTTTGTGGGCTCTGTGATGCTCCGGCTTGTCCATGAGGTGCGTCTCTTGGATACACACCACATCTGGCCAAGCCTTCCCCCTTATCCCTCGTAGCCGATCCCAAATGGCCTGCACCTTGGTTGGATTGTATGTAGCCAAACCATTTATGTTAATGGATCGCAGGTCTAGGTCTGTGTTTTTTATTAGGCTTTTCCACGTCGGAGACTGACCATATAAAATATTTATCTCCTCCATTTTATTTCCACCAATTTGTTTCTTTCAGTTTTTAAGGTTTTTGTTCTTAATTTCAAACCGGCGTCCATTTTTGTTGATCCCAGTTGGTTACTGTGAGTACCCCCCTTCTTACAATCCTTGTGATACAAACTGCGAGGTCTCCTTCGGACCATGTTTTGTTCCCTTTTAGTTTGAGTAGCTGCAGGTCCAACAACTGATTTATTCCAAACCACTGAAGTCCTGAATCTTTGTTATCATCAAACCTGAGATACACATCTATTCCTGCAATCTGGGGGTATTCCTTCCCCAGCTGCAGTGTAGCCTGGACCCCTGCACCGTATTGTTCCTTAAGGAAGTCCCTCACTCGCCGCCAAAAAAATAAGTCCCGCGACCCAGCACTGGTCCATATATTAAGCAGCTCAAAGCCGGGTAGGGTGACTCCTCCATGTTTGTCCCCTGTTCCTACGGGTTTCAATCCTAATTCCCATTTCTCCCCCCTTTTACGCAAGGGAATTAGAGCCACCCCCTCTCGTGCTATAAGGGCTCTTTCATGTATCCCTTTCTCAACTGCCTGCCGCACCCTTTGTCTACGTGAGATGGCCTTCACGCTATGGAAACTGACTTTTTGTTAAATTTGAAATATGTTGTTCGGGCGAGTTGCAGCGCGACGAAATTGAACTAGGTTCTTAATGTTGTCCCCTTTTCCCTTTGGGGCCATCCTCTAAGAAACAACATGCTTGTTTGCCTTGATTGCAGGGCTTCCTAGAGGGGTTTTCTATTGGAAGTTGCTCATGAGAGCGAATCCGAGTTGTATGTACTAGGATTTTTTAATCCATTAGTGCCAACCTACCACAGTCTGAGAATAGAACACAACCTTAATCCTGTGAGGATCTCAGAGCCAGGACCCTGTTGATTACTTTCTTTTTTCTTTTTTTTGAAACAAGGTGATGGCAGGCCGACTAGGAGGGCTGATATGAGCAGCCTCCCCTACTAAGCCCACATGGCAGGCCAACTAGGAGGGGTGATATGAGCAGCCTCCCCTAGTACGCCCACTGCTGGCCGCTTCATCTATTGATGGGGAGCAAAGTATGGTCGTTATAGCTGTAGTTGGGGCAACTTACGTCAGTCTAGAATCAAGATAGAGCGATAATGACGGTAATGCGTTCTGTTCGGGGGAAGATGATAACCATGTGTTAAGTTATCTTAGCACCATTGTGTATCAGTCAAACTAAACTCAACTCATGTACTCAGGGACGCTGGAGCCATTTTCCGGCAGATGATGCTCCCCACCAATAGATGGAGCAGCCAATAATGTGCGCACTATGGGGGGCTGCTCATATCCTCCCCCCCCCCCCTAGTAGACCTAGTCTGGCCTTTGTTCAAAAAAAAAAAGAGAAAAAGCATCCCCATCCATAGCGCCATGTGTTAACTTAGCATCATCGATAGAGCTATCGATAGAACAAGAAAAGCTGAATTTTTTTCGGACAGTCCTTCGGGACATTCGTCAAAATTGGAACGATACAGAGACCGCAGGCAAATTTAGATTTAGAAAAAGCCAAATTAAGCAGGGCCCGGTTCCCAGCACGTGTTGCTCCCCACGAATAGATTGGAGCATTTGTTCCAAAAAAAAAAAAAAAAAAAAAAAAAAAAGGCTCATGAAATTCTAATTCAAGGTTCTACTCAAATAGAGATTGAAAAGAAGGAATTGATTTATGCTGCAGATCGTGACTCTCAAAATTTAGAAGAATAAAAAAACATAGATATTCATCTGGAAGAACAACGTATACTCGAAGAAGTAGGTCGAGACGTTTCCGCCTCCCCGTAAAGTGTTAGTGGTGGTTGCTCTTATCACGAACCCGCACACCTGTCGTTGATGCTTCAAAAAAAAAAAAAAAAAAAAAAGATTAGCATGGCCCCTGCGCAAGGATGACACGCATAAATCGGGAATCTTTTTGGGACGCTGGACCCATTTCCACCAGGTGCAGCTCCCCACCAATGGAACGACACCATCATAAGCGGGAAAAGAGTAGAGTGGATGTCTGCTCTTATCAGCACCCCCCGCACACCCGTCGTTGATGCTTCAACAAAAAAAAAAAAAAAAAAAAAAAAAAAGAGGATTTTTTTAGTCTGTTACAAAATGGATGTGCCCGAATTGCGCAGAAAGGACAAAAAAGGCACATTGGATTTTTGACCACCCAACCATCATTGTGGCTTGTGCAGACTCTGCAGAGACCTTTTTTTTTTTTTTTTTTAATTTTTTTTAATTTTAGGAGGCTCCCTATTCTATGGGCAACTACAGAGCAAGTTGGTCTAGAAAACCTCCACTGCATCCAGAGGTGACCTGCCAAGCTTATTGACAGCTGGTGCCATGCCAATTTCTTTTACCTTTTTTTGTTTTTTTTTGGGAATGAAGGCTGCCAGTTCCTTTTTGTGGCAGTAGGAGAGGGGAAATTCCAGCCCTGCTGTGGTCACCGCTTTGGCAGAAAAAGAGTCAGAAAAAAGGCCACCCTATATCGGTACAGCAGCGGTATGATCGTACAAATTAGAATTCTCTTAAATGGATGATCTCCTCCCCCTGACATCCTTGCTGAAGTTATTGATGATGCCGTGCGGCGTGCTTTTTTTTGGATTGCTCCGGTCCAAATTTCTCTGAAATTTGAACCTTCCGTTGCGGAACAGAGTCTGTTTTTCTCACGCTGGCCTTTGTTTTCAATGCTTTTCTCCACCTGACTTCTTCTTCTTCTTCTTCTTCTTCTTCTTTTTATTTTTATTTATTTATTTATTTATTTATTTTTAACTTCGTATGTGGGAAAACCTACTTAAGGAGGTGATAAGAGCAGCCCCGATACGTAGGCCCCAGTGTCGAAGGCTCCATCTATTGGTGGGGAGCTGCACTTGCTGGAAATCGGGTCCAGCGCCCCCGTACAATGATGTGATGTGTATCAGCTGGAAATCGGGTCTAGTGTCCCTTTACAGTGGCATACTGTGCATCCAATACTATCTGTATATTTTCGTCAATCAATATATGTCGCATGAAGGGAAAACCCTATCGGATTCCACGATGTCTACCAGATTGCCGTAAAGAGCAGAGGCATTGATTACTTCCTCACTCAAGGGAAGGATTGACCTCCTGCCCATACCGCCCAATCCTATCAATCAAACCAAACATATGTGTGCAGAGCAAACACTGCCTGTGTCATCTTTGTGCATTATCCCCTAATAGGATGTCAACCGGGTATCTCCTGATGCAGCAGGAGGAATTGATTACTTCCCAACTTACAGGGAACTTCAAGGATTGACCTCCTGCCATCCCAATCAGCACGCAGCAACACCAGAAACCCTAATCAACCCCAAGCTAGGTACTCTTGCTCAATCGATAGAACACAATTATAAAAAAGAATCACTCATGTGATCGAGCAAGAGATTAGGGTTAGAGATTAGGGTTAGAGAACTCTGTTAACCCTTGTCAGACGGAATCCAGTCCCCCCCCCTACCCCACCCCCACCTGCGGCAAAACTCGTGTGCCATGGCGACGCAAATCTGCCAGCACCACAAGTGTCATCGAAGCAGCCGCCCTTGCTCCTGACGTCGTTGTTGCTGATGCTGATCTTGTAGTTATTATCATTTCTCCCATTGTTGTTGTTGGTCTAGCCATCGTCGCTGATGACATTATTGTTGTTGTTGTTGTCTTTGATCCAGTCTTCAGTGTTGGTGCTGTTGTTTAAATTTGTGGTGTTTCCACTGTTATCACTGGTGCGCAACCAATCACCCACCCATCATAAGCCGTTGCCATCTGTGGAGAGGCTGGAAGAATCTGCCGTTCTTCAGGCCCTCCCTGCATGTGACCCTCCTCAAGCGGTGGTTGGCCTTGTACGCGCAACCTCGCCTCCAAATCTCCGCATAGATCACGCCCTTCGTTGAAAATATTGTAGCAGCGCCGCATCAGGGTAACCGCCACAAGTTCCCCATTGTTTACTTTTATGATGGAGCAGCACGCCAGACAAGCCCTCAATTTTGGCTGTTCTCGTACCACCCCTGGGATCGAGGGATGTTACAAGGGCTTTCCAAAAAAAAAAAAAGAAAAAAAAAAAAAGATTTCTTATCTTATGATATTGAGAAGCTCGAGGGTCGGTAGTAACATGTCATGCATGATGTGGTGTCATGATCTATGACCAGGTTCGCAGAATGAATAACTGGGCTCAGCTTGTAAGATTCTTCTCTCGAGCTGGCTGGACTATTTCGCTGAAGATGATCAACGGCACAATGAATGCGCACGCCGGAAGCGCTGTTGCTCTTATTGAGACGCTTTACGTCATCTTGACAAAACGCAAGTGAGTCAAACTACGTCTGTCCTAAGTGAACCAACTGAGTTAAACTTTGTCAGACGCTGTGGTAAACTCAGTGAAACTAACTGAGTTAAACTATGTTAAACTATGTCAGAGTCTGTGAAGCAAGTGAGTTAAACTCTATGGGTCCTAGTAGGTGAAGCAAGTGAGTTAAACTATGTATGGGTCCTAGTAAGTAAAACAACTGAGGTAAACTGTGCATGGGTCCTAGTAAGTAAAACAACTGAGGTAAACTCTGTCTGTGCTAAGTAAGTAAAACACAGTTACTGAGGTAAACTATGTCTGTGCTAAGTAAGTAAAACAACTGAGGTAAACTGTGTATGGGTCCTAGTAAGTAAAACAACTGAGGTAAACTGTGTATGGGTCCTAGTAAGCAAAACAACTGAGGTAAACTGTGTATGGGTCCTAGTAAGTAAAACACAGTTACTGAGGTAAACTATGTCTGTGCTAAGTAAGTAAACTACATCTGTGCTGAGTGTGAAATTCAATGTCCTCCAATGAACTGGATGCCATATCACAGACTGTGGGCCTGGCTCCACTAGTCACCAAATGTAGGAAATGGGAATGAATCTGTCGCTAGAATATCAGGCCCAGTGACTGACCCATGCCACGGAATTCACAAAATTGGAATTTCAACTTTCAAGCCCTCAAGGAAGGAGGAAGATCAACACAACTCAGCCTGCTACTATCCTTCTTTTTTTTTTTTTTTTTTTTTTTTTTTTTTAACAACCCCCGGTAGTGTTATAAAAACTGGATCCATACCGGCACCTTCAAGGTCTGATATCGTCCGCACAGGTAGTAGACTCAGGCTACGTGGACGGGTACTCGCCTGGACCTAGGGGTACCTCTCCTGGGCCCCTTAAAGTACTAACTTTTCGTCTTCTTCTGCTCGGCCTGCCGCTACTCAAGTGCTACCAGTACGGACACTACTCTAGTTGAGTGTGCCCTAAGCTACCCCTTCGGCCACTTGAGTGTGGGCTTTCCCCGCTGGAACCTTCAAAGTCACGAGGGCCCACCCACAGGTAAGTACCCCCCGTGCGTGCCTCCCAAACAAACAAGTGCCCTAGCGGCCCGCACAGTGTCACGCACTCAGGCCAACAAACACTCAGACAGACACACGGACCAGCAAGCACACTCAAACACAGACTTAGAAAACTCAGCAGAACGCGGTGGGAATCTCAGCACGGCATACATTCCAGCGACAAAACTCAGAAATCAGCTGTGTTCTCAGTCTGTGTTTTTGCAGGTCATTACAGCCTTTACAGGTGTCAATAAGAGGGAAAAAAAAAAAAAAGAGGATACAACTGCACCTGTGACCCCTGCACAGCTCAGAATTCACAGAAATCTGAAATAACAGTCCACTGCAAGATTGGGCTGTGAGCAGTTTAAAACAGCAAGAAAAACAGTAAACTATGCTTTCCACGGCCTACCGGTTCATAATTGGTAAAAACCGGAGGTGGCCTGGCCTAGCAGGCCCTCCTGTTTTTTTTTTTTTGTTTTTTTTCGTTTTTTGGCTTCTGGCAGGAAAATGATCCCACTTCAAAAAAAAAAAAAAAAAAAAAAAAAAAAAAAAAAGCCGATCCCACTTTGTCAGTACAGGAAAAGCCGCAGGCCACGCTCCGCCCCATTCTCTCTCTCTCTCTCTCTCTCTCTCTCTCTCTCTCTCTCTCTCTCTGTGTGAGTGTCTGCTGCTGGGCCCACCAAATTGCGACGTTCAATGTATCTGGTCCATTGTCTGCGTCAGATACATTTGCACTTTTTATTTTATTTTAATTTGGACCATTTCTCGATGCATGTCATCCTTGCGCTGGGGTCTAGTCCCACCTACAGCGTTGAGTTTTCTCAACGCTGAGCTTTCTATCACGTGTGGCATGGTGGGACGGAGCTCTGCCGTTGATGTATTGCGAATCTAACGGTACCAAAATACAGGAGAATAACCTATTAGATTTAGTCATTTTGTAGAATTTTTTTTTGACGTGAAATCCGTTTTGTAGTATGCGTTGGCCCTTTTGGTTTGGGCGGGAAGCCATTTTCCGTTGAGAAAACTACCCTACCGAGGGTAGGGTAGATTTCTCAACTGCAGTGCCTTTTCTTTTTTTTGTTTTTTCAGTCCTCATTGCATCCTGAAACGGAGGAACTCTGACAGCTGTGTTTGGCTGTCTGGCATCAAACGCGTTTCCGTCTTTGGGCAATGAATGCATTTGGCCATCCACGTCGTCCCTGTCCATTTTACAAATGGTGACCTCCTGTCCCCTCACCACGGGAAGTATCCTTTTTTCAAGGAGACGTTCACTCCGACTGTTACAGACATGTTTCATTTCTCCCAGTTACGTTATAAGAAATAAGGGCCTCCGAGTCTCCTTTCCAAAGGAAACGGGATAGGAGGCGCCTAACATTACAAGCTGTACTTGGGGGGAGAGCGCAGATAGATAGGATAAACCATAACTTGGAGGATATGAAAGTGTTTATCACCATTGCTCTGCCGAAGATCGACAGGCAGCGTGATCTGGACCATCTGGCACACGTATCTCTAATTCTGTTTTCCATTATTGAGTTTTGGACGGCTGCTGAGTCCCCGAAGGATACCTGAATACACAGGTATCTTTCTACCGCCGCACGGGGCTTGACTGTGATGCCCAAATCTAAGGCCAATGGCTCACCATTAGGAGTGAGTGCTACTGATTTTTGCCAACTGACCTTCATCTCTGAGGCCAGTTCGTACGTAGAGATGCATTGTTCTAGGGCTGAGAGTGATGTCACCGAGTTTTCTGAGATGGCGGAAAAGTCATCCGCTAGAGCCGAGACCTTAATGGAGTGAGAAGGGGAAATCTGCAGGCCTTCGTAGTCCGGATGCTGTCTTACCATGTTCACGAGTACTTCAAGTTGGATCACAAACAGCGATGGGCCCAGGGGACAACCCTGATGTAGAGACCTAGTGACTTTAAAGGGGGTCGAGGGAAAACCGCTCACTAGGACCCTGCCCGACGAAGCTCCATATAGGGCTATGACGAAGGATCTGAAGGCGGGACCCACTCCAATTCTTTTTAGGACGGCTTGGACGAAGTCCCAGTTGACCCTATCATAGGCTTTCTGAAAGTCAATTAAGATGACTACTTTGTTGAGTTTGTGTTGATTAATCCAGTCGATGGATTGAGATATCGTCATGACATTGTCCATAACTTGTCGACCAGGTACAAAACCGGATTGGTCAGGCTGTACGAGTTTATGCAAAAGGGGTTTTAACCGAAGTGCCAGGGTTTTAGCTAGGATTTTACCATGTACGTTAAGCAATGAGATGGGCCTGTAGTTCCGCACGTCAGATTTGTCTCCCTTTTTGTAGAGAAGGGTGATGATTCCTTGGACAGTATTAGGCCCCAGGCGGTTATCTTTAAGGATTTGATTAAAGACTCTTAGGATGTCCGGGGCGAGGAGTATCCAAAACTTGGTATAGAATTCTACCGTTAGACCATCGGGGCCCGGGCATTTGCCCTTGGCCATACTATTGAGTGCTTTAGTGATCTCGGAAAGAGTGATTGGGGATTCGAGTGAAGAGGCTTGCTGTCCAGACAGAATTTTGGTAGTGGACTTCCATAAAAAGTTTTCTAGGTGAGGCGGCATGATGGGGAAATTGGGAGGTTTCTCTGAGGTGAGTAGCTGCTGGTAGAATATTTTTACATATTCACATAATTTATTCGAGTCTTTAGCTTGGGGGAGAGGGGGAGTCTTTAGCTTGCTGTCCAGACAAAATTTATTTGAGTCTTTATCTAAAGTCAGTTGGACGAAAATAACAGAAAAACGAAAACAGGGGGGCTTGGGCGTTCTTGACCCAGAATCTCAAAACAGAGCGCTGATGGCAAAATGGTCAGTCAGAGCGTTGACTGCAACAGAGAAACAACCCTGGATCATGCTGGCCCAATACTCCTTGGCACACCAATGGGACCTGTCTAACCCTGACGCAGTTTGGGATGCACTACTAATGAAGCCGTTCACAGCCTGTCCCTCAACTAAGTCCTGGGAAGGGATACTCAGAGCATGGGGGAAAATGCTCCCCCAGCGCCTGGATGAACCTTCCACCTCTGAGGAAATTCTCAACTCTTGTCTCTTTGAAAACACATATATTATTAACCAATCGGGTACTCCGTTCTCAGTGGCTAAAGACACCGGAAACTTCGGCAGAAAATGGATGCAACGAGGCGTTTGGCGCATCCGCCATATCTGGGACATTGACAGAAAAAGTCGGAAGAATGCAATACAACTCCGACAACAGCTAGCGGGCCTCCATCAAGTAGAATCTCGTCTGGCTGAATTGGTTGCGGCTATCCCCCCGAAGTGGATCAATATCATCTCCAACCAGTCCCTGTCGAAGACCTACAAGGAACAACAATGGTTCCAATCAGCAACCACGCCGACCCGACTTTTCAAAATTGAAGAAATCCGTTCGGATGGTGTGACGTTGGCCTCGGAATGGACACTGGACAACTCAGACCTCCAACAGCTCAACCACTCTATGCCCACATGCTTGCTAGGTATGCAGGAGATAACAGTTCACAAGACTTCARAMGGTYTTATTACCAAGTCCWTGGCCCAATCCACCGCGACACAGGACTGGAAACCAGRCACGGGTAAGTTCGGCTGGAAAATTTCTGTTCCAGGCAAAGAAACCAGGAAGGTCWCGGTACAAGACTACTCCTCCAAGTTAGGATATAGTCTTCAGTCTGAAGCCCACTCCATTCAAGCTGGTCTATCTGTAAATKGGCAGCATAGGGCAGCATCTCTGAAGCTCAGCCCAATATCCCAATCCTGGGTACTCTTCTTTATCCAACTTCTGCTATCATCATTGGAAACCAAAGTGGGGGGTCTTCAATGGTTGCATCTTCATTCCTGCACTCCCACAGCCCTCTGGTGCTCACAGAAAGGTATGTCTGTATCAACAGTCTGCGAAGCCTGTGTCCATCCATCTCTAGAAGATTGGCTACATCTCTGGTGGGAATGCGTCATTGCTAGAGGTTTCTGGGACTTTCTCAACTCGACCTGGGAAAAGGCCTACGCTGTTGCTGACGTCTGGAACCAAGACTTCGTTCTCACAGGCAGAGTGTCTCCCTCCTTTAGAAATCAGCAGGTGGAGACTGTGGCTCAGATATTTAGAAGAAGAGCTTTCTGGTCCTTATGGATTGCTAGGAGAGACAGGAAATTTCTGAACTCTAACCCACCGTTTTCATCCCTGATTTCCAAATTCAGACACTCTCTCTCAGAACAGAAATTGCTGCAGAA